TCCCACCCAAGGAGCTAGTTTAGATCTGTTTTTTGTAGTGATTGGTAGCAGGTCCTGTAGTATTTCGTGTAACCACTCGTACCAATGATCGAGCATCAGTTCAACGTTGCTCAAGCAAAACGGTGGTAAGGGGTGTTGGCGAATGAATTCATTCACTTCTTCCTAGTTTGCTTTCTTGTACGCAAAAATGCCAAAATCTAGTTTTTGTTTGATGGCTGGTGTCTTTTTATGAACAAGTCGGTAGTCAAATGAGACTTTGGCATGGCGTGGCAAATGGTCGGAACTGAATAGACTACTCAGACGGTTGTCAAGTTTTACGCTGGTGACAAAATGCGGTTTGTTACTAAGGAGAACGTCTAGTGATCTTCCATCAGGGGTTTTTATTAGTTGTTGGAAGTTTGACTCACAGAGTTTGTCAAGGATTGACTGCTCATCTAGAGAAGTTGAAGTCATTGACGGCCAGTGTGTACAGTTAAAATTTATATCTTCAACTATATACGAACAAATTGCACTTTGTTCACATTGCTTACGACTCAAGAGTTTTAGGAGTTCAATTAGACCTGAGATTTCCCACGAGTAGGTACTGTTTGAAGGAGCGCTGTAGATGCAGCATATTATAATCAGCTTGTTCAGGGATATGCGGATGATAACACAGTCTTGAAACGCGGAAATGATTTGGCTACTTGGAAAGTTACGGTTTGCTGCTATAAGTACGCCACCATGTTTTGTCAAGCTTTGTCACTCGGTCTGTCATTTCGTTGGATAACGCAGTTTGTCAGAAAAAGTGCAGCGTCGCCAATGCTTTCTGTCAACCAGGTTTTAGTTAGGCAGTTGACTTGATAAGCGTTCTTGACAGCACTAGAGAAGGTTGTCCGCCGTTGATACTCGGGAATACGTCTGATATTGTAAACAAGGATATTCATCGTCGCTGATAGCCAATTTGGTGCTTCGGGATCTGAGAGTTTCTCTTTTATCCACTTTCCACCTTTCCGAATGTACAGAGTTGCATCGTGGACTCTTATGTCCTTTCTGTCTACAGATTTGTCGCTGATAAGTTGCCTCCTTCTGACGAGGGCAAGGTTTTCTAGATCAGCTTCTTCCTTCATCAATTGTCGGCTGAGGAAAATTGGTTGAGGGGAGTTTTTCAGTTTCCTCGCAGATAGCAATACCATTCGTCGTTGGTATGCATTGGCCACTTTTAATAAGATTTTTCTTGTCTTGTTCTCGTCATATCGACCCAGGCGTATGACATCGCCAATTGAGGCATTGACATCCATATGGGTCAACACTTTTTGAACTTCGGCGAGATCGTGTTCTTGGCGCAATCTTGCTTCCTTCTCCGTTGATTCAGGGATTCCTCGTATGCAAATGCCATCGAGTTCCTCGGCGGGTTTCGGAGGCGGTTTTTGGCGACTGGCAATCGAGCTAGGTTGGGTTGGATAATCTGAATCAGGTTGTTTGGTGGTTAGCAGCATTTTGATTTTGGTCACTGTTTTTTTTGAGTTCAGTCATTTCATTTTCCACGGTTTTCATTTGAGTTTCTCGAATTTCTTTTGAGGTTGTAGTTTCATGGGCAGCTTGGGTTAAATTATCTTGACGTTTTTCTTCAACGCATTTGTTGCATATCAATAGAGCATTTTTTCCTAAGGTTGGTACTCCATTGACAGCGGCTTCACTTAGACCAGTGCAGTCTTCATTCAGGTGCATTCGACAATCACAGCAAAAGCAGTCGAAAGAACTTTCATTTTTCAGGATTTTCTCGCAGCACGTACTACAAGAATCAGAGACTGACTTGACTCGATTTCGGGTGTTATGTTTAGAAATCTTAAAGGGGCTCAGAGCCAGAGACTCGATGAGCTCGCCTGTTGAGATTTCAGATTTAGGACTCAGATTTGCGTACCTGTTAAGAATTTTCGCCTTCTAGCTTCGCGCTTCTCGCCAGCCGTTCGAAGCTTCGTGCCACGTTTTTTGAAGATTCTATTGAAGTCGGGAAAATAGTGCAGCACAGTAGCTAGAGCCTTCGACTCTGTGTCAGCAGCCTGGTGCCGTTTTCGGTATTCTGCAATAAACGATTCGTCAATTCTTTCGGAAGCACTGAAAATGTGCTTTGTCACGTCGATTACGTAACAGTCTATTGAATTTAGAAGATTGTCGAATATGTAAGAAGCACCTTTGCGTTGACAGGTAACGACGCAAAAGAGGTTTGTAATAGTCTTAAGGGTCGCAATCAGTTCTTCGATTGTTTGGGGTATGTTGCCTTTTTTCGGGTGCGATGTTATTGTGTTGTTTAATAAATCGTGCCAGAGAACAATTTTGCAGTTCCTAAGAAGGGTTGATGTAAGGTAATCGAGGCAGTAATTTGACGTGCTAGGGTCAAGATTCAGGCCAGCGAAACAGTGAACAGGATCAGCAAGCTTATCTTGTTCCGATTGTTCCAGTTTTTTGATGGAATGGTAAAGAGAACTTGCACCTACTATTTTGATCATAAGGTATAGAGACTTAAAAAAATCAATAAACAAACAAAATTGGGATGAACTCAGCTGATTGGGAATTGGGATGGTGAACACAGCAAGTCGGTAGCAACCAGTAATCTACGTCCCTTGATGCTCATGGCATCTATACGCAAGGTGCTGGCCATCTGTCTTGTCAATAGATCAATAGACCAGATTCTGAATTACATACCAAAATCGAAGGCTGCATACCAAGCTGGCAGAAGCACGACGGAACAGGTCTTCGCAATAAAGCTTTTAATTGAACGCGAAATCTCCAAAATTGACCAGGATGTTTACCTTCTACTTCTCGACATGTCCGCAATTCTTTAGCGCAATTCTCTTTAGCGCAATTCTCTTCATTTTCTAGCTTCTTCATTTTCTACCTACTTTATCTTCATTTGCAGCCTTCTTATTGATAATATCGACAATATCAAGTGTCAAATTACTCCCTACGATCACGTCTATTCCATTCCAAAAACCGATTTTAATCAATAAGACCACTGTTATTCAAATCCGTACGGGTACAACCCCAAGGACGTCAACACACCTGATATCACGAGCGAAAGTGGAATTGACTCCCAGTACGCCGATGATCTCAGCTGGATTAACCGGTTAAAAGCTGAACTTGACCGCATCAAGACTCTTGCCACTACTAGGCTCGCATAACGTAGTCTGCTTATCAACAACTCGCAAACCGAAGAAGTCCACATTTCAAGGGGCACTAACGACTGGAAAAACTGCAAATTCCTTGGTCCATTACTTGACACGGAATCAGATATTCTACGCAGGTGTACGCTTGCCACTGTAGGTTTTGTGAGATGCAAAAACATTTTCAACAAAAACAAAATTTCCGTGAATACCAAACTGAGAGTCTTCAACGACTTCATCTCTAGTGTTTTCCTTTATAACTGTGAACTTTGAATGCTAACCAAAAAGTTGACTGAGGACGTTAATATCACACAGAGACGCTTTCTACGTAAAATCCTACGAATCTTTATCCTAACATCATCACGAACGAAGACCTCTACAAACGCACCAAACAAGAACCCTGGAGCACCAGTATCAAGCGAAGACGTCGAGCCTGTTTTGGACACGCTGTTAGACTTGACACAAAGACTCCTGCTAGACAAGCTCTCAGTGCGTACCTTGAACCTGCAAAAAACCCACCTGGTAGACAAAAAACATCGTGGGTCGCACTAGTTCAAAAAGACATTAATTCCCTGATTATTCCTCTGAACATTCACATTCCAGAGACTTACCATATGGCCGAGGATAGAAAAGAGTGGAGAAGAATTACAAAAGTACCTGAAATTTAGTGCAGTTCCGGTTTACTGGAGTTATTGCATTCTAACGACGAATTAAATTTGTTTGTTGATCTTAACAAAGTTTTAATAACTTTACGTTGCTTGAATTTTTAATGGTGTACAACTTTTTCACTTTTCTTAAATTGATGATTCTATTGATGCACTATTTTCACCTCATTATATTCAAACATATGAGTAACTATTCTGAATCTGTACCTGATATTGAAAAAAATTTTGTTAAAAGTTAAATTTCTAACGTTTTTTTTGTTGATACTTCATCAATGTTGTTGCCACTTTTTCAATGTATGGAATTCTAATGGTTTTTTGACTGGGTGAATTGATGAAGGACCAGTATAACAACTTACGTCGTAGTGATAGTTTTTGACCTTCTGATTTACCCTAAAAATAAGAGAAAAAGTTATTTAGCTTGGCTGCTCTTGAACGGATCAATTGAGCAATCTCTCCCCCCCCCCCCCGTAATGACCAATTGAGCTATCTCCCCCCATCAAAAACGAAAAAACTCTACAAAAAGACTTCAGCAAACGCAAGTAGATGGGTGATGTGTTTAAAGCACGCAATCAATTAACCGACTGAAGTTTATTTTATAAAAATATTTTTTTTTGCAAATTTTTGTTTGCATCCATAGCCTCATCGAGGAAAGCAATTTACCAGGGTTGGTGCTCTAGTCTTGTATCTGAATAGCAAAAAACGGTTATCCGCAGCACCTTAATATTGTACGCTAAAGCTTTTTGTCATTTTAAGAAAGAAAAAAAGTCGCTTTTTATGCCTGTTTTATTGATTCTTTTTTCAATCTGAATGAAACTTTTAAATTTTATATTGTAAATTTTGGCTTTCCACAGTCGTTTGAAAATATGTTTTATGATTTCATGCCATTCAAACTATTTTCAAGTGGTTATAAACAAGTCTCAAGTAGCTATTGATCTATCTCCCCCCCACGCGAGATTGGGGGGGAGATTGCTCAATTGATCCCTTGAACCATTAGTTTTTAGACTCCGGTTTCAACTCGGAGTCAAATATTAGATTTGCGGTCCATATTTTTGATAGTCAACTAAGCCGAACAGTCATTGTTTTTAGACCGGCCTTCATTAATGTTTTATAAAATGAAATCTTTTGTTATCCATCAGTTCCATGTATGTATTAGGCAGACATCTTGCTAACTGGAAGTAACTTTCCTATTTTTAGGTATTGGTTGAAAATCGGAAAAGAAGTTGCATTTTCTAAAATGCTCCAACGGAAGCGTGAAGCACTGCTTTTGCTAGCCAAGGATTTAGAAAAATGTATGAAAGAGCGCGATCAAGTAAGGTCTCTCATTAAGAAAATAGTTTCAACTTGTGAATGTGGTGCAGCTAGTCTTGTTGCCAAAGACAGAGATTTCCCTGCAGCTAGTTGCGATAACGGAGGCTCGCCAATTGCTTACACCGGGCTGAGCAAAGAAAATGAACTTGAGTTGCGTCGACAGAAGGGCATCATAAACGAGCTTATTAAGCAGAAGCGCGAAATGAGCGAAGAAATAAAACATTTGCAAAACAAGAATATGGAGGCTCACGAAGATATAAAGCTGTTGCGAGAGACTGTTGCAAGGCAGCGTGTGGGTTCTTCTGGAGGCAATGCAGGGACGAGCTCAAGCTACTCAAGTACAAACTATCATGCAAACGACATAGGATGCGGTCAGGCGAGATTAGAAGTTTTGATAACCGAATTGGAAGCTTCAAAACTGCGCAACGATGAGCTAGAACAGGAATTGTTTGCATACCGTGAACAGAATAAGGAACAGTCCAACGAAAAACTGTTTTATGTTAGCCGCAGTGAGAGGTTAAATGCAGAGTTGAACCATATTCTTGGCGGGGATACGGAAAAGGCAATAGTTGACATAGACGCATTAACGTTAGAAAATAATCATTTGAAAACCCAGCTATCGCAAGTAAAGTGCGAGAAAGACATTCTCCAAGCTCATTATTTGAAGCTAAAGCAAATCAGTGGAAAACCCAAGCCAAATCCTAAGCGAAATGACAAATCAATTTTCCATTCGGTTTCCCAGAGAACTGCAAGTACGGTTAACGGTCAATGCAATTTCTTGTCCACAAAAGAAGTGCAAAACTACTTAATGGGTGCGCCAGGAGAAAATTTCCCAGTAAGCGCCAAAACTGTCGAAGAGCTGCATACATTAGCTCTTTCGTTAACCGAAACCATTGAAGAGAAAAATATGTCATTATCTCATCAAAAACAAACAAATAAAGCTTTAGGAGTGCGGGTGTCAGAACTTGAAAATAAATTGAAGGCAATTGAGTGTCAAACACTGAAAAGTAATTCACAAGCAATCAAAACTGCCATCAGTAGAAATGAAAGACCGTTGGTCGGTTGTTTCGCTGCATTAGGACAATCTCAAGAATGTAATGATGAAGATCTAGAGAAAGACCTTTCCGATTGGGTGAAAAATTCGGCCAATGATGAGCGGTCTGAATCGAAACGTTCAACTCTCTTAGACGATTGGATCGACTCGGAAAAAGATGTATTCAATAACAATGGAATGGAATTCGAACAGAATAACAACGAAGCTCATGCCTGCGACGATGGTAATATTATGAAGGATATTACAGAAGACTTTAATGAAGTTTTCCCTGAGCTGCCATGTTCCTTAACAAGGGATCCTTCTTTGCCGAAAGAGGAAAACGAAGTTCTACGCAAATTTTTCCACAGTATTGACTCACAACTTTCAAACGAACTCAAATCTGAGAATGATCTTGATGAGATAAGTTTAGTTTTAGATTAGATTTGCAATTTATTTATGAACGATTGAATGTTTATATTAAATGTTTGTATGTATAAATTTCTCTGTTGAATTGTATATTAAGATTAGATTGTTTTGTTTTACCAAGAAGCTTGAATAATGGGATTATATATCGTTCAGGGCTTAAAGTCTTGGGTTTAACAATCTTTGCTCAACCAGACCAAAGGGGAAAGAACTGTCGGGAGTGACGTGGAAGGTTTCCTCCACCTCTCTGTCGAATGGTCGGTGGTGCGAGGCTCATGATGATCTCTGCTCGCTGCTTGGAAAAGTGATGAATTGTTTACCAGTTCAAAAATAGAAAAAAGTACAAATATATCCAGGTGAGTTATAACCGAGGTGGTTAACTCATAGAGTAATTTCGGATAGGGTACACCGTCTGCTCGTCACGCTATCTTATTTTCGGCCGGATAGATTCGTGCAACTTCTTAGTCTAATACCGATCCTAATCTTACTCTTATACTATCTAGTCTCAGGGTGTTTAACTAGTCTCTGCTAGGCTCAATAGATCTAGGGTATACTGGTTTATTGCGGCTGCTGAAGTCTTCTTGGAGAGTCAACTAATTTCTAAGTTAAATTCAAATCTCTCTGGTGCTGAAATTACAAGTAATTCCAGCACTTACAAATAAGTGGGTTGTTAGTTAGATGGATCATGATTGGTTAATATTAAATACTTTACAGTGGTAAAATATCTAATTTATCCAATCATAAAATGTAGTTTAGATCAGGTTCCACCCATCCGGGTTTTACAGAGTTTTTTAGAATAGTCTTTCTGCAATTCAAAAGATGGATGATGGACGTTGGTATTTGGCGAACATCATATTTCGTCTGGGTTCTCTTGTTAGAGAAGTTCCAGATTCAATCGTTGTGTCTTCTTATGACAACGACTGGGTTTTCGCAACAAACTCAAATCTGATTTCAGAATGGTTGGCTATGACAGGTTTTTTCGTTTCATGTAGAGAACTTCTTTGTGTTTGACCTTGTCTGGGAATGGCGTGGAGATTGTGCGTGGAGGGGATGCCTGGTTACTCGGATCTGTACGTATACTTGAACATCGAGGTGGTCATTGTTCTAGTTCAATGAAGTCCTTTTCTGCGAAGTCAAGTCGTACTCTGAATCCTTTGAGTTGTGATTGTGGGCGGCATATTGATTGTGGTTGGCCATTCTTTTTCGAGTGTAGTGGGGTCATTTTGTCTTTGGATGTTCGTCTTTGGTGTGGTATGCTGATCTATATACTGCAAGATATAATTTACATTTTATAAAATTTTTATTAGTTTGGTGTTTTATTTAGATTTTTAGTCTTCATCTCACGATCATCTGCAAAATACACAAAAGAAAAATAAAAAATAGAAAACTTCTTCAAATTATCCCAAACTCTAATAATCCTTTGCACCAGCTAAATTAAATAAAATTCATACAAATGTAATAAATTAATTTATAAATTATTTCCCTAAAAGCAGTAATTCTAATAATGATGAAAATTTGTAACTTAATTTTTCCAGATGAGTTATAACCGAGGTGGTTAACTCATAGAGTAATTTCGGATAGGGTACACCGTCTGCTCGTCACGCTATCTTATTTTCGGCCGGATAGATTCGTGCAACTTCTTAGTCTAATACCGATCCTAATCTTACTCTTATACTATCTAGTCTCAGGGTGTTTAACTAGTCTCTGCTAGGCTCAATAGATCTAGGGTATACTGGTTTATTGCGGCTGCTGAAGTCTTCTTGGAGAGTCAACTAATTTCTAAGTTAAATTCAAATCTCTCTGGTGCTGAAATTACAAGTAATTCCAGCACTTACAAATAAGTGGGTTGTTAGTTAGATGGATCATGATTGGTTAATATTAAATACTTTACAGTGGTAAAATATCTAATTTATCCAATCATAAAATGTAGTTTCGATCAGGTTCCACAGGCGCGGATGTAGGATTTTCAAAAAAATGTTCAAAATTTTGTCAACTTTTTTAGGTCGACCAAATTTAGTTTTCAGCTCTCCCAAATCGCTAAAAACACCCTATGTTGACCAAGTTTTTTGTGCCGCAGGCAATTTTTTGAAACAGAAGTTTTTAAAGCATTTTTTGGAAAGTTTTGATCAAATCTCCCCTTCAAAATTAGTTTATATTGGCGCCTAATGAATAATTTTAGGGTCGGTCAGCCGTAAATGGGTGTTTTAAAAATGTTACCAAAGGCAGGGGATCGAATTCCTGTGGGAATGGAATTGCGGGTGTCTGCACCCCTCTCCACTAGTCATGCCTTGTGATTAGATATTGCTAGAAAAGCGTAATTTTTGTTATGCTACAAAGTTAAGCTTCATTGACCTTCTTTCTTTGTTTCGACTATTGAAAATGGGGAGGAGCTTTGTACTCGGGTGTGTTTTAGTTTTTCTCTTTTTTTGTTTTCCACGTAAAATTAGCTACAAATAACCATCGGAGTGAGTTGAATGGTATATTATATTGAAGCCCTTCCATTCGTGATTCGAAAAAAAGTAGAAAATTTCCAAAAAATTCTCCCAGTGTCGAGCAAAACTGGTTTTATTTTTTTTTATTTTAAGTTCAATTTACAGCCAAAAACTTGATCGAGTTGTTTCTAGAACTCCATCTTGCAGTTTACTAGCCTGTTTCTGGAATTCTTTATAAGTGACTGATTCTGTGCATTTGTGACGACAAAGGCTGTGGATTGGATTTCCATGAGGAACGTACTTTTTGAAAATCAAATTTTTGGAACATATACTTGCTTATTTTTTCAGCTTAATTTTTACAACGTAGGTTTTCCTGGAGAATTCATTTTTTATTGTTGCAAATACTGAAAATGGGGAGAAACTTTGTATTCGGGTGTGTTTTAGTGTTCTGTTTTTTTTCCACGCAAAATCAAGTACCACAAATAACCAACAGATTGTGTTGAGCGTTTTATCATAATAGAGCCCCATTAGTCGTGATGCGAGCGACATTTTAAAATTTCCAAAATATTTTCCCAGTGTCAAGAAAAACTTTTCTGAAATTTCTGATTTTTGTCTATTTTCGAGCGAGTAAGTAGTAAACAAGCCATGAATTTTTGTTCAAGCCTCGAAAAATCTATTAAAATAAGTTTTCAAAATTTTTAGCGCTAACTTATCAATACACATCAAAAATTCTGCAAAAAAAAAAAGATGTTTTAATGTTTTTTTTTTTCAATGATTTTTTGAAGAAAATATTTTTCCAATTCGCCGCAATTCGTCGCTCTAGTCATTTGTTCAGATCATTTCATCACACCACACACAAATATATTTAATTTAATTTGCAAAAAAAAAAACTTTTTTTTGTGGTTTGTTCAAGAATATGGTCGGAACATGGAACATTCTGTGCGACTTGCACAGCAACCGGCTATCCTTGTTATAATTTTGGAATGCCATGTTTAATAATCGTAAGAATGTGCAGGTAATTGAGTTCCAATTAATTTTATAAAACGGCTGCTTACTTGAAATTTTGATATATTTTATTTATCGTGTTATCCTATCAACAGTTTGTTTCCACTGCGAGTTTATCGAATTGGGGTTTACAAATACTTCTGGTATAGATAAATCATAAATTTTTATGCTATTATTTCAAAATCGTTTTATGTTAAATGTTCGCACAGCTGAAGTTCTGCCATTTCGTGTAAATAATTTTTTTTGAGTTTCCGTCGAATGAATTTCAACAGGTTTTAAGACTTGAAACATTAAAAGATGAAGTCATGCTATCCAAGAGTCCTGGAAAATGAAAATTTCAAATAAATCGAAACTTTTGCTTTTTAAATTTGAGTTTAACTTAGGCTACCGATACTTGAATCTTTAAATTAAAGCCTAAGCCTTGCTATCATCTAGAAAATAAGTTGTCATACAAAGGAGTTTTGAACAATTTTTTCATCTTGGCTTTATTTGAGTGTTCTTCTTCGATCAAAATTCAACGCTGTCTCCACGATTGTTTTTTGATGTAATGAAGCTGAGAACGGTAATCTACATAAACGGATCACTGTATTTTTACGTTTGCGAATAGCAAACGTTATCAAATCGGAATAGACTATTTTTAAGACTGAAAACTAGTTAAACAACATCACTAGAATCACTTCATTACTTGATTGATAAAATTATTCAAATTTTTTTGCTTCTGTGGTTTATGTGGCCTAGAGGTAATGACTACTCCTAGGACGGCTAAGAGTCGAGGTTGGAATCCGAGCAGGATGTTTTTTTTGTTATTGAAAGTATTCACTTTCAAAATTTTATCGGCCTATATTTATTTCTTTTTTTTGGCTTAGTTGCTAAATCGCCGAATTCTCTTGTGCTTTAAGCATGTTTCATTGTAACTGTGGAAGCGTTTTTAATTCAATTCTGATATGTGAAATTAAATCTTTGTATATTTTCTCTTCGCAATTTTTTTTGTTTGCAAGTGACTCAATTTGTTTATTTTTGCACTTAAGTGACCTAATTGGCTTAAAGCACCTTTTTTTCACTGAAGGAACCTAGCAAGTATTCTTATCCTGTTGTCTTTCCGTTAGTGGAATGGCGCATGAGTTTAGAGTTTGAGATTATTTCAGCTAAAAAATTTTCATGATATTTTATTGTTTTCAGATAAAACGGACGTTTACCCAAGTTTTTTCGGCTTAGCTGCTGCTCGATGAATATTTCTGACTACTTATTTAACCCCCTTGTTGTGTTGCTGGACGTGTTTGTTCTTTACTTTTGAGCATCATTTAGAAAGCTCAGATGTTTTAGCTCACACTTTTCCGGATTAGTGGCTTTCATTTTCTGTGTGTGAAATGTAGAGTCTCCCGCTTGGCCTCTTTGCGAAACTTCGATTATTTCAGTGATTTTGTAGTCTGATACTTTGTTTAAATGAGGAACAAAACCTCAAGTTTTTTGGACACGATTTATCAATTTTTGTTATTTCAATTTTTGGTCTACTTAAGTGTGTGTTGTCCGGTCTTATTTTTTTTTGATTTTCGAGGTAGCCAAGATTTGGGCTCAAGTGTAAAAATCTATTCAATCCTCGATTGCAATTGGGTATTAGTATT